GCTGATCTTTACACATAGATCTCACCAAATAGATTGCACAAGAATCAGATTGATTCCTTCCATATGTGGAAGAAAATCACAGATGGATTCCTTCCATCTGTGGCAGGAGTCATGGATGGAATCCTTTGGAATCATTGGAGAAGTTCAACATCAGCAGATTGTGTAACAGACCACCCTTTAATGATGTGTAAGTTGAAATTGAGGCTGAATAAAATAAAAACAAGCACATGAGAATCAAAATCAAAATATGATCTTGAGACTAGCCCAACATAATTGTAATATCATTTAAGAACACAACAACATAGAAAGAGTTGGCCTAGTACACTGAAAGTGATGCTACCAAGCCAAAGTTAGGTGATTTTAATCTGTGGCCCTCAAACACAGTTTTAATTGTTCTTGATCAAACATTCTTCAAAGTGGTATAGCACTGTTCTGTCCATTTTCTGTACAGAGGTAACTCATGTTTGCTGTGATGCTGAACACTGTGTCACTGATGTGTCAAATGCGATAATGGTTACCCATGGAGAATAGTGTTTGGTGAAGCTCCTAGATTAAAATAAGCTTGGAAGCAGGAGTGGCATCCACTTCCAAAATAGCTTGCCTTCATGAACCCTATGAACTTGGAGAAACAATGAAAGTTATACAAGTGTTCAGGTCTTTCATTCATAGTGTCACTGTGAGGCGTCTATGACTGGATGACACTTAACAACAACAACAATAACAACAAGAATAGGTTTAAAGCATTGAACACCATTGATTAAGGACAATATGTGTTGCTACATGACATCAAAGATGTCATTGATGAAGAGTGTAAAAGGTTACTACAAATACAGAGGAGAAAGGAAACCAAAAGGAATGGCAGAAGAGACACAGAAAATTACACTGGATCAACAAGAAGCAAAAGAAAAAGCAGAAACTTTGAGGTAAAAGAGTTGAACAGAAGATTTCCAAGGGCATCTTGAGAAGACAAAACAAAGTATTATATTGGAATATTCAGAGACCTAGAAATCGAGAGTAGAAAGGGAAAAACCACTCAGTGTTTCTCAATATGTGAGAACAAAAAAAGGAAAAAGAAAAACCAAAAAACAAACAAACCCAAGCCTCAAATTGCAATACTTAAAGATGCTATGGGAAAAAGTTTGAATGATTCATTCAACAAACATCAAAAGAAGATGGAGAGAATACAGAGAATCACTCTATGAAAATGTTCAACACGGAAATATTTCAGAAAGTACCATACAATCCAGAGACAATGGTAATGGCTGAAGGAATTCAAGTTTCAGTGAAGACTTTGGCAAAAAGATAAGATGCCAGGAATCCATGGAGTACCAATTGACAACTTTCAAATAATATAAGCAGGCCTGGACACATTCCCTCATCAATGCCAGGAAATTTGGACAAGAGATATATGGCTGACTCATAGGAGTACATTCATGTTTGTTCACATCCCTAAAACATGTGATCCAACAAAATATGAAAATTATTTAACAATATCATTAATATCACAGATAAACAAAACACTGCTGAAAATAATTTAAAAGCAGCAAAGAGTACTTAGAGAATTGTCAAAAGTTCAATCTGTACTGAGAAGAGGCATTGGCACCAGGGATATCCCTGCTGATGTCAGTCAGATGAATCTTGGCTAAAAGTAAGAATATCAGAAGAATGTCTGTTTGTGTTTTATTGATTATGAAAAGACATTTTACCATGGGGATCATAAAAATTTATGAATAACATTGAGAA